GGGAGTGGCGGTCAGTAGCGATCACTGGTCGGGGATTGTTCGAGGCCCTACAGGTCAATGATCTCATGAATGTGTGGATTATGTTGATGGAGAACGACTGCCGAAACAAACAGCAACTCAATTCTATTATGTTAACCAATGGACTCGCTCGGATTCTTGTTTATTTCATTTTACGGGATGTACAAGACTTTGACCCATTACCACACGATCCAAGATTTTCTCTATGTCTGGTCTTGATACGGATGACTGGGGTACTTGCTAATACCCTTGGTGAGTGTCCATGTTACTTTAAAGGAGTTATTAATAGATCGCTAAATTCCAAGCCGTTATTATATTAATTCATGATGTAGACTTCGAAGATACTTCTGTGCATGGATCCCTCCTCGACTTCGCCGAACCGTTTTTACATCAGGCCAGTTGGGTCCGTCGTAATTCTCTCTAAGTGAGCACTCGCCGTAGCTGATTATCATTCAGGTATGGCCAGCATCAATATCTGACCGCTCGTCGGAGATAATACCTATATCCGAACTGACCATGGAGTATCTCGGAAATAAATTGCGATTTAAATTACCGTCTGGAACTTCGTATTCTAGGCTCTGGGCCGTGGATACGTATGCTGCTATCCGACGCTCGAGGTATGTAGATTACTTCGAATTATTATCTATGTAGTTTGTTGATGTTACTGATAGCCAAAGAGGTCCAGGGTCTCAAACCCCCTCTCGAAACAGTTTGGTATACGATAAGGATTGGTTTCGACTGGTCACGCTTGAGAATTTTTCCGCGGACGTATCACCAAAACTAATCAATATCAGAAACATTTGTTCTATAGGCTCCTTTGACAATCTATTTAAGGGTTTTATCTACGTAGGTTTCAGGTTAGCCCATTTTTGTCAAGTTTAATTCACAGCCTATCATCCCAGGTGCCGTGCCCCGTTGGCGGGAAGGTCGACACGGTTTCTCAGCCAGTAGGATGTGCCTTGCGTGTATATCATGCCGTCTCCGAGGCCAATACTGTGACCTTTATCGATAACGATGAAACTGCCTTGGAGTATGCCTGGCTCCCAAATGGCGTCAAACTGGAAGAGAGGGCTGTAAGTGCCAGGGTGAAACATTGCACCATTGGAATGATTTTGAGTTTGATTTGATAGGACTGCCTGCGCATATACGATCCGGTCAAGAAGTCCTGGCTCCAATATCAAGCATGTCATCATTCTACTTGCGAGAGTATGTCAAAGAGTTTGACTGATAAATTTGGCTCATACTTACATTGTCTTCTAGCTTACAGCGAAGACGAAGGGGGTACCATTTGTGATACAATTTTGGTTGGCGAGGTCTGCTTCTGGTTAGCACCTTCTGGTACAGCGCTGATTTTAAGTTTGGTATGCTCAGACAGATCCTTCGTCAGCCAACTATGCCCAATTTGAATACCATGGTCGCATCAGGCCTTCCAATGGTATGTTATCATTACAAAGGAAACCAGTAAGTCTAACTTCTTGCCTATTATACATTTTATTTCTGAGCATACCTTTTCTCAGAAAGAGAGACATGATGAAGAACTCGGTATATGGTCAATTCATGGGTATGTTTATGGAGATGCGGAGATAATCGGAGATTGGCGTCCCTTGGGCACCCAACAGTACTCCCCAGGTACGCAGGGCTGGATGTACCTTTCTAAGTAGTTCCTTGTCACGGAGAATTGGTAAGACTTCTGCTGAGAAAGTTCCTTCCGGTTAGATATTCCTTTCTTTCCCAGGGGATCTGCATACATAGATTAAATCCTTCAGCTTTTCCCTAATGTAGAATTTCATTATGATTGCATATGTATGCCCTTAATAAATCGGCTTGGGAGATGTTATTTTTTAAGGAAGTGGTGTGTTTTGTTATCTTTGACCGATGACGGGATATCCTGTCGTATAATCTCTCATTTTTAATGAGATACCTCTACACTGTATAACCACGGTTATATGGTTTAATTGCAACTGGGAGAGTGCGGCTGTTCGAGGATATGGAATTGATATAGATGATCTGTAAGCCAAAGTGGAATGGACGTACTAGTGGCCCCGGATATATCTCGGTCCTTTAATAAACCCTTAATTAGATATATTTTAAACTCTTCGTGGAGACGCAGACGGGAATCCATCGGAACGTTTCTTTTCGACGGCAGTGTCATCATAACTTCTTGAGACACCAAGAGTCCCCATTTGATATCCACTAGCACTCCCAGACAAACGGCTCACGCTGGAGGGGAACCGGAAACTTTAAATTCGGCAGAGTCTTTTTAAATGAATCCCATGAATATGGCTAGATTAAAATTATAATATCTCCCGTAAATGAGAGCTGCGGAGGAGTTGAAATCTAACGCACTATCTAACCGTTATCACCCCTTAAATATTTTCGGAACGAACTTGGGTAAATAGTTGAGCCTGGCGAAATTCTATCAAGTGCTCGGTGTTTCTCAGGGAAATAGTGGCTAGGCTGCTTGTTGCCATATTCAAATATATTAAGGAAATGTTGTAAAATAAATTATTATGACCATGGGATAATCATAGATTTATGGCTGTTATAGACACTATATCGAATCCGAATGTCTCTGAAATGTATGCCTATGATGCATTATCATAAGCTAAGAGGATAGACGATCGTGTCTGGGTACCGCAAGATGTGTTCCCACACTTGGCGCGATAGTTCTCCGGCCTCTTCCAGTTCCGGCTCTTCAACTTCAGACCTCAACGCTCAACCTTGATGAGTTCCTCAATGAAGTTCTACAGCATAATGTGATTTGGGCCTGTATTTAAGATGGTCTGCTCAAGTTGGAGTATAGAAAGGTCGAACAATGGAGGCTTAGTCAAAGTAAGTTCCCATGTACTACTCACGTCGTCTTTGTCATAAACGTGACCTTGTGAATATTTAGTCTAGCATTTTTAGTCTAGCATTTTTTTCAGCTAGTATCATAAGCAATAAACATATTGAAAGAAGGCCGTAGGGTCACCAACGGTCCGAGGCCTCCCGCTTTATATGTGCACATGTCACCCACGCTCGGTAACGTAAGGCTGCGATGAGTTGCGATAAGTCGATCGGATGGTGTGAGAATCCCCATGGCTTCTACCCTCGACATTCAGTACGCTCGTTCCCAATTCCCTAGCCTAGAGTCAGGCTATATTTTTGCGGATAATGCGGGAGGATCTCAGGTAAGCTTTCATGGAGGCGGTATTTAAGGCTGCTGATATCCTTGATATCCCCTACAGGCATTGTTATCTGTGGCCGATGCTGTGAGAGACTATCTATTGAACAGTAATGTCCAACTTGGTGCGACCTATCCTGCGTCGCAACGTGCGACAAAGCGAGTTGAGCACGGCGATGAAGCGGCGGCTATCGTTTTCAACGCGGAATCAAGGGATGAGATTGCTTTCGGCTCTAGCACAACTCAGCTATTGGCGAATCTCGCAAAGGCCATCTCGATGAGATTAGATGACGACGCGGAAATAGTACTCACCGGTGAACATGAGGGTACGAGTATTTCTTCTGGTACATTATAAATATTTGACTGAACATGGATCGGCAGCGAATGCTGGGCCATGGAAATATATTGCTTCGGCTAGATCGCCTGCACTAAAGCTAAATGCTTGGGTACCCACTAGTGCCAATCCTAAGAATCCTTATGCCGTATCGTATAATGGAGCTATACCTGATTTATTAAAACTCATTACTGCGAACACGCGCGTGCTCGCCATATCAGGATGTTCCAACCTCGTCGGCGAGATCTTGGATTTTGAAAAGGTGGTCAAGACTGTAAGGAAAAAGAAGGCTCAAGTTGGAGGAGAGTCTCTTTGGATTGTTGTGGATCTTGTTGCATACGCGCCTCATCGCAGTATTGACGTGAAGAAATGGGACGTAGATTTTGCTGTCTTTTCCTGGTATAAGGTCCGTTATAGCTCGACAGATTTTAGGATTTTCCAATTGACTGGTTACTGTATGAAGGTATATGGCCCTCACACAGCGGCTATGTATACCAGGTCTTCAGAATTGAAAAAGATTGGCTCAGTGGCACACCATTTCCACTCACCTAAATACGACGGTCTTCCTTTCAAGCTTCAACCTGGAGGTGCCGGGTACGAGCTTACCTATGCGACTTCGGCCGTCCTGCCGTACTTATATCGCCTCTCTCAAACCACTGGAAATCTTATTAATTCCGAGGAGCTTCTCGCTACCAAATCTAAAGCTGAATTGCGAAAGGCGTTGGAACATACTTCCTCGCTTTTTGAAGCACATGAGGGACAATTGGCGAAACTTTTGCTGGAATTCCTGACTAGTCCCAAAATGTACGAACGAGGAGTTCGGGTCGTAGGACCGGAAACACTGGAGTTACGTGCCCCCACCATTTCCTTTATTGTGATCGATACACCAAGAGACAAAGGAATAAGAAGTCAAGATATCATTACAAAGGTTGATGCGAAGGGCACAGTACGTTTATTCGTCTTGACATTGCATAAAATGTTAATATCCACTTAGATGGGATTCCGTTGGGGTCATTTCTATGCGTACGGCCTTGTTAGTGGCTTGCCTAATTTCCAGAAGGTTCCGAAGGAAGGCGAAAGGAGCATAGATGATGGTATTGTACGCATCAGTCTGGTACATTATAACACAGTGGCCGAGGTGGAGAAGATCATTGCTGCATTGGAGGAAATTCTTTCCGCTAACTAGCGGCTCGGGTTATCCATGCTGGTATTATCGGTTGTACTTTGCGGTATATACATTTTTTTGGTTTTCTTTTCTCGTAAAATTGTCTGAATTTTGACGGAGAGAATGCGAATTGCAAAGAGTTCACAGCGGATCGTATGATCGTGGTTTAGAAGAAGTTTAATTTATAGTGGCACGCAGCATCAGCAACATTTTTGAACAGAATACAGAGCTTGCGAGTATCAATATTTCTTGCCTGTTTATTTCATCAATGAAGTCATGTTCGCTGTCCCCTGGCTGCGGATTAGGATACTTAGGCAGAAGCTCCTGTGGCGCAATGGTAGCGCGTCAGACTTCTAACGCTTAAATTGCGTATGTAATTGAGATTAGGTTATCTGAAGGTTCCGGGTTCGAGTCCCCGCAGGTGCATTTTTTGTATGTTTTTCCCTAATTTTGCCTAATTCATATTCCTGTCGGAGCTGCGGAGCATTAACACAGCTCCGACTGAATATTTGAACTTACGTGATGTCACGCACTCTAATTGGCTAGCAATGTCACATCGGTTCCACTTTTCCAGCTACATCGATGCAATAATCGCGAAATTGGGCCAGACGGAAGCCCTCCTTTTAATCTTTATTCATGTCACAAAAGTCATATCGCGTATTCTTAGGTGCTCCGAAGACGGGAAGCTTGTGTGCCGTAGGACAAAGCTCTTCGTGGCACACTGTCAACTCCAGCGAAGTGCCGCCTTTATTGCCTCCAGCCACGCTAGAACGAGCTGAACACCGGATTTCGATGCTCTACAAGAACGTCATTTTTCACCAAGAAGAGGACGAGGTGGTAGAACAATTAATGAGTCAAGAAGGTGGAGTCATACGCCTTCAATGCTCCTAGTCTTATTACAAACTCACTTCGCAGGAGACGAGACCGGAATTTCCCGTGGAGAAAGCTCCAATTCTGCAGAACTCTCGAATATTTCGTGGCTGAAGGGTCCTGGAAGCTACGGGGAACAGGAAACCTTCGATTCAGACGAAACCGGAGACGGCACTACAATGCTCTCCGAGGGAAGCTCTATCGGAAGATTCCCAAGCTTTAGCTTCAACGTCAATACTTTATCCTCACTTTTCGTGATATCTCGAATAAAGAAGTCGGCCCCAGGCCCCCCTAGAGTTGCCCTTCTTTTAGGCATCTTGGAAGTCGATGGTCCATCTTACGTCAAGGCAAAGAGCGGGCTCCAGAGAGATTCAGAAATGGCATTGCTGAAACTTGTTGCCGGAGATGAAAAAGGCTCAATATGTAAAATTGTGGCGTGGAGGGAAATTGCCGAGACATGGGGAGGTGATCGAGGAGAGCCCGCCTTCAGACGCGGAGACGTAGTCTATTTTGAAAGTATTATTTCCTTGTTTCCTCGAGCGGATTATCCATTAATGCCTAATAGATCTCGTTCTTTCTACCCAACGCGGACAAGCTACTTCAGAGAGTGCGGAAGCCGGAATACAATTCACGGCTTCTCCCAATCAGAAATCTCATGCCCTAATATGTTATCGCACCCTGCCTGCCTACAATGGGGACCGGAAATTACGCCCAGATCTACGTCTATCCTATAACAGTCCCGCAGTTCGCAAAGTCAGCGAAGTCGTGGAATGGATGGAACGCATGGCCGGAATCATCGATAGGCGTTGATGTGCCTGGCCTCTTGAGGCTGTTGATCCTGGTTCAGGGTGATTGATCTCACAGATCTTTGAATACTCAATCTCATAATCGTGCAAATGGTTTATTTTAACCAGGGATATAATTTAAACATTTCGCGGCGACAAGCTCTATTAATGGCAAGAACATCGACTTGACTCCCTTTTCATCGAAAACCAACCCTGTTCCCCAGAGCTATAGCGGTCTTGACTGGTTACACTCCATTCTCCCACGAACTCATCGTTATAAACGCGCCCACAGAATAACCACCTTCCCAGGAAGCTTTGCTCCTTCAAGGCCTACGGTCATATTCAATCAGAAAAGAGAAGACACGCCAGGGCACATGAAACATACCGGTTGTCGGATGAACGCTATGGAGTCATCTTTAGGATTCTTCCGTCCATAAACGCGATAATCGTGATACCAGTTTTTGTCACGCTCATTTGTGCAAATAGACTGTCAAAATGTGTATATTAGCTGACTGTACATGATGAGGAAAAAAGAACAAAGTCCGTACATTTCCCACTATAATTGTGTCTGCTATCTTTGCTCCTGGAAAGAACCTCGTTAGTTATTGATTTTTCTAAATGAAAAGAACATACCAGGCATAATTTGATCGGAGCTGTGATACGTTACCCAGCGATTGTTAACTGGATCATAGGCTAATAGTGAATCCTACCAAATAGTTAGATCATCAGAGTTCTTCGTTAATTTTGCATTTTAAACTTACCAGTTTCTTGTGACACTTGAATCCTTCAGGAAACCAAGCTCGTAGAAAGGGGGCTTCGTTGGTGTTATCTATCTCAAAGGGGATACACAGGTCTTCATCGACAGAATAATATTCCTGTAGTTCGTAGCTTATCGGCGTTTGAAAAATGAAAGTATTAGGTGTCGAGGTCTTGTCGTCGTCCTCAATGGTTGTACAGGGAATCTGTCCTTCTATCAATAAAATGAAAAATATCAGTAGATTTATTAAACAACTTACAAAAAAAGCTCCGCTCCAAATGCCCTCAATCCTTGATACCAAATTACTGTCTTGCACTTTGTTACTACTCTGAAGAGGTGGGGCAATACACGAGGTCCAATCAAATGACAGTATGTTATTTCCACGAAGTCGTTGGTCGACTTCATCGCTATCCTCTGAATTTCCTAATGAAGCGGTAATCTTATTGTATAGAACCCCTGCGCATAGTCGAGCAGAGTCTTGGAGGGAGGGGGTGCGTATGCCGATAGGAGGATTCGAGCCACTGAGCTGGAGGTAAGAAGGATTCGATGGGGTAGCGGGCAAAAGGTTTGGCCTGATTAGCCCCTAGATTGCCATGGGTTTAGAGTTTATAAAGCGAACATGACTAAAGTGGTTACACGTACTGCTTCAGACTTGCATGGTATTGTTAAAGGCTCTAAAATATCTAACAAAGTGTTTCGGTCTTCCTCGGAACAGTTGATAATAACCTCTTTAAAAACCATTACTACCAGCATGACTCAGAAACATAAGATACGTACGGGAACATAGGCCCCATAGCACAAAGGCCAAGAGACATAAACACTGAATATGGGCATCCGTCCAAAGTGAACTGTCAATGGCGGTAAAATCGCAAATAATGGAGACAATCCTCGTATAGATGCCTTTGAGGACTCGAGTGGAAGCAGGAGATGGTGTAATGGACCGGGAGAGCGCAAGGATAAGTTCACCGATGTTTTGCAGCATGTCCAATAGACTTGAGATGTCACCGCTGTTTTTCAAGGCGGCTGCGTTTTCCTCGAGGTCTAATAGTTGTCGTCGCCATTCTGAATTTTGGTAAGACGGAGAGGCAGCTGAGACGTTCTGAACAGCTTCCATCATAGATAGTAGGGACTTGAAAATGCAGCACTCACCTGAATGGACTTATATACTGCGAGGTTGAAGCCTGAAGCGCCTTCGAAAACCAGAGATCACGAGTGTGGAGACGCAAACTTCGCCCTATGGCACAATTTTGTCCAGCTCAGTTATATCCGAGATACGGATAAAAGCAACTGGTGGTATCCGTGCCGGCAATTGGGTGGACCAGGCCGGCTATGACTGCGAGGCTGAAGCTAGCTGCTGCAGGCGTTCCTTTCAGCGCTCCGTCACACAGCCTCAAGGAAGCCAATGTATATTCTGCTTACGTGTCGAGAAAATAACGAAATCCGAACAAATAGCATGAATATTTACACCTGTTTGCATCATCCGTTTCGTTGAGGACTCCGAAAACTTGTGTGATCTAACATTGTGCTGTGACGTCAAAAAAGTAGGCAGGCTAAGAAGCATTGGAGATGTCGATGAGTCCTATCGCTGACAAAAGGCCAGAGGCAGGGATCTGCACGGATGCAAAATATTCTGTTATAGCTGAGATCTTTCTCCTTATATGCAAGGATTACCCTCTTGTAGAGAGTCCCGCCGATCGACAGAAGGGTGAGGTTTGGAAGGATAAAGTTTTTTTTCTGTGCCTTCCATGCTGTCATCTGCTGTCCGGTAAGGTCCATTGCGCATAAGGTCCGGCGTAGCCGATCAGGTTCACTTGTGCCCATACTCCACGTGGTCTGGAGACTGCAACCAATGCTTCTGACCTCGGGAATGACAGCGAGCCAACAGCATAGTTATAGCCAGAACTTGGAAGGTCGCGGTTGAGTCGCGGAAATGATAATTCGGAGCCGTTGGACCACCTGAGGCTACATTGAGAAACGGGGAGCTGATATGCTCTTCATTTGACGTAATAGGCTACAGATTTCATTTACTCCCTTTATTATCCGAAATGGTAGTCGATCCTTGGCACGCCGTCCACAAAACCAGCCAGATGAAAAGGGTCAGGAATATATAAGGTAATAAAATTAAAATACTCACAAAAAAGATTTTCGAGCGTGACGAGACTGCTTATTGAGAACGGTTGGACTACGATCACTCTTCCCTTTCTAAGGCTAAGGAATAGTCTTGTATAGGCTTGATAGTGAATATGCTGAATCATAAGGTATGCAGAACCTCATTTTGGGAAGAGTGACCGGCTAAGCCCTGTAAAACTGACACTGCTGCAGCGCATACCTATGGGTTCTTGCAATGAAATCGTTCCAACGATATCTCCGAAGTTCTGCGAATTCAGAAGACAAGGAAAAGAAGTCTTAGGAGATTGCCACCATTGAATCGTTAAAATGTCAAGCCATGCCCGGCATGCTCATCCTGAATGAGGCATGCTATCTGTGAAGGCTGTTATTTATACTCCCACTTCTTATTCGGATGCCTTTCGGCTTGCTTGTAATTAATACCTTGACGAATAATATCTTATCCATTGGGGAATAGTCGACGGATTATTGGAGAAGGTATATGAATTTGAATAGTGTGTATCACTAGTGTGTGTGAGATGCTGTTGACAGCTCTCAAGGTTTGTCCATAGAAGGTAGAAGTGACGTACGTATGACGTCGTATAGAAGCTCGACGAGCATTCTACTTAATCTTGCCTGTAAGATTTACCTATGAATATGTTGAGGTATCAAACAGTACTCTGGGGCGATGAAAGGGCCATCAGCAAGTGACGGAATATAGTGGGTAAACTTACGGAAGTCCCAAAGCTTTGGAAGTCACCAGCATGTTTCTGCTTCACCAAGATTCTCCAAAGATCCTCCGCTGTCCGCGCTCTTTTACATTCTTTACGACGAAGTGGGAACTGCGGTTAGGCTAAGGATATGACACAGACAAATCTGAGACGACGTACAGGGAAATATATCAGTCA